TTAAAAAGAGGAAGACAGCTTAAGAGAACTGTGGGACAACTGGAAACGTAATAATATTTGCATCATAGGAGTCCCTGAAGAAGAAAAAAATGAGAAAAGGTTAGAAAATATATTCGAAGAAATAGTGACAGAAAACTTCCCTAATTTGGTGAAGGAAGAAGGCATTCAAGTTCAAGAAGCACAGAGAGCCCCTAGTAAGAAGAACCCAAACAGGCCAACACCAAGACACATAGTACTTAAAATGCCAAAAATTAAAGACAAAGAGAGAATCCTAAAGGCAGCAAAAGATAAGCATCTGGTTATCTACAAAGGAACCCCCATAAGGCTCTCAGTTGACTTCTCAAAAGAAACACTACAGGCCAAAAGGGAATGGCATGAAGTAATCAAGGTCATGAAAAACAAGGATCTGAATCCAAGACTACTGTACCCAGCAAGGCTGTCATTCAAAATAGAAGGTCAAATATAGAGCTTTCCAGACAAAAAAAAAAAAAAAAAAAAAGGCTAAGGGAATACATTCGCACCAAATCAGCACTGCAAAAAATGTTAAAAGACTGCTGTAATTAGTAGAAGAAATTAAAGAAAAATATAACCAAACTAAACAAAATGGCAATATATAAGTACATATCAATTATTACCTTACATGTAAATGGACTGAATGCTCCAATAAAAAGAAACAGAGTAGCTGACTGGATAAGAAAGCATGACTCATCTATATGTTGTTTACAAGAGACTCATCTCACAACAAAAGACTCACATAGGTTGAAAGTGAAAAAATGGAAAAAAATCTTTCACTATATGTTGTTTACAAGAGACTCATCTCACAACAAAAGACTCACACAGGTTGAAAGTGAAGAAATGGAAAAAAATCTTTCAAGCAAACAGAAAGAAAAAAAAATCTGGGGTAGCAATAGTCATATCTCATAAAATAGATTTCAAAATATAGGCCATAACTAGAGACAAAGAAGGCCACTACATAATATTAAAAGGATCTATCCAACAAGAAGATATAACCTTGATAAACATATATGCACCCAATATAGTAGCACAAAAATATATTAAAAATCTTCTGAAGGACTTCAAAGGAAAAATCGAAAGCAATACAATCACAGCAGGGGACTTCAACACCGTTGACAGCACTGGATAGATCCTCTAGACAAAAAACTAGCAAGGAAACAGACTCTAAATGAAACACTAAACCAAATGGATTTAATAGATATCTACAGAGAATTACATCCCAAAACTACAGAATTCACATTCTTCTCAAGTGCACATGGGACATTCTCAAAGATAGACCACATGTTAGGGCACAAACTAAGTCTCTACAAGTTCAAAAAGATGGAAATCATATCAAGCATCTTCTCAGATCACAATGGCATGAAACTAGAAATCAATTGCAACAAGAACATACAAAGACATTTGAACACATGGAGGCTAAAGAGCATGTTATTAAACAATGAATGGGATACCAAAAAGATCAAGGAAGAAATTAAAAACTTCCTGGAAATCAATGAAAATGAACACACAACAACACAAAATCTATGGGATGCAGCAAAAGCAGCTCTGAGAGGGAAGTTCATAGCACTACAGGCCTACCTCAAGAAACAAGAAAAATTTCTAATTGACTGTCTAGCCTCACGACTGAAAGAATTAGAAAGCAAACAAAAAGAAAACCCCAGAGCAAGTAGAAGGAAGAAATTAGTAAAGATCAGAGCAGAGATAAATAACATAGAGACCAAAAAAACAATTCAAAGGATCAATAAAACAAAGAGCTGGTTTTTCAAAAAGATAAACAAGATCGATGGACCCTTAGATAGACCCACCAAGAAACAAAGAGAGAGAACCCAAATACACAAAATCAGAAATGAAAGAGGAGAAGTAACAACTGACACCACAGAAATACAAAAGATCATTAACAACAACTATGAACAATTAAATGGCAACAAATTCGACAATCTAAGCCAAATGGACAAATTTCTAGAAACACATAGTCTCCCAAAACTGAATCAGGAAGAGATAGAAAACTTGTACAGACCAATAACAACTAAGGAAATTGAAGAGGTAATCAACACTCTCCCAGCAAACAAAAGCCCAGGCCCGGATGGCTTCACCGGGGAGTTTTACCGAACAGGCAAAAAAGAACTAACACCCATTCTCCTCAAACTATTTCAAAAAATTCAAAAAGAAGGAAGACTTCCAAACATGTTCTATGAGGCCAGCATAATTCTAATTCCCAAACCAGAACAAGACACTACAAAGAAAGAAAACTACAGGCCAATATCCCGATGAACATAGACACCAAAGTCCTGAACAAAATACTAGCAAATTGGATCCAGCAATACATCAAAAAAATTATTCACCATGACCAAATGGGATTTATCCCAGGGATGCAAGACTGGTACAATATTCACAAATCAATAAATGTGATATACCACATAAATAAAATGAAGAATAAAAACCACATGATCATATCAATGAATGCTGAAAAAGCATTCCACAAAATTCAGCATCCATTTCTGATAAATAGGCTCAGCAATCTGAGAATAGAGGAACCATATCTCAACATAATAAAGGTCATATATGAAGGACCTACAGCCAAAATCATACTCAATGGACAAAAACTAAAAGCATTTCCCTTAAGAACAGGAACAAGACAGGAATGCCCACTTTTGCCACTCTTATTTAACATTGTACAGGAAGTCGTAGCCACAGCAATTAGACATGAAGAAAAAAATAAAAGGAATCCAAATTGGAAAGGAGGAAGTGAAACGGTCATTATTTGCAGATGACGTGATATTATACAAAGAAAACTCTAAAAACTCCATCAAAAATCTACTAGACTTAATTAATGAATTTGGCAAAGTAGCAGGATACAAAATTAACCTCACTAAATTGATAGCATTTTTGTACACCAATAATGAACTTACAGAAAGAGAAATTGAAAATAACAATCCCATTTACCATCACAGCAAAAAAATTAAGATACTTAGGAATAAACTTAACCAAAGAAGTAAAGAACTATTTGCAGAAAACTACAAGATATTGAAAAAAGAAATAGAGGAAGATATAATAAAGTGGAAGCACATACCTTGTTCATGGATTGGAAGAATTAACATCATTAAAATGTCCATATTACCCAAAGCAATCTATAGATTCAATGCAATCCCCATCACAATACCAACAACATATTTCACAGAACTAGAACAAATACTTCAAAAGTTCATATGGAACCAAAAAAGACCCAAATTGCCACAGCAATCTTGAAAAAGGACAAAGTAGGTGGGATCACAATACCAGATATCAGGTTATACTACAAAGTGACTGCAATCAAAACAGCCTGGTACTGGCACAAGAACCAGCATATAGACCACTGGAACAGAATAGAGAACCCAGAAATGGACCCAAGACACTATGCTCAATTAATATTTGACAAAGGTGACAAGAGCATAGAATGGAGTACAGACAGCCTCTTTTATAAATGGTGTTAGAAAAATTGGACAGCTACATGCAAAAAAATGAAACTAGACCATCAACTTACACCATACACAAAAATAAACTCTAAATGGATAAAAAAAAACTTAAATGTGAACCGTGAATCCATAAAAATCCTACAAGAAAATGTAGGCAACAAAATTACGGACATCATACGCAGCAGATTTTTCACTGATACATCACCTAAGGCAACAGAAACAAAGGAAAAATTAAACACATGGGACTACATCAAACTGAAAAGCTTCTGCACAGCAAAAGAAACAACCATCAAAATGAAATAGCAACCCACTGTATGGGAAACCATAATTGCCAATGATGCATCAGATAAGGGGTTAATTTCCAAAATTATATATAGAGAGTGCTCATACAACTCAACGAAAGAAAGACAAAGAACACAATTTAAAAATGGGCAGAGGAACTAAATAGACACCTCTCCAAACAGGACATACAAATGTCTAAGAGACATATGAAGAAATGCTCAACATCACTAATCATCAGAAAGATGCAAATTAACACAACTATGAGGTATCACCTCACACCTGTCAGAATGGCCGCCATCAACAAATCATCAAACAACAAGTGTTGGCGAGGGTGTGGAGAAAAGGGGACTCCAGTACAGTGCTGGTGGGAATGCAGACTGGTGCAGCCACTATGGAAAACAATATGGTTTTACCTCAAAAAATAAAAAATTGAACTTCCATTTGACCCAGTGATCCCACTTCTAGGAATATACCCTAAGAAACCTGAAACACCAATCAGAAAGAATCTATGTACCCCTATGTTCATAGCAGCACTATTTACAATAGCTAAGATCTGGAAACAGCCCAAGTGTCCATCAGTAGATGAATGAATTAAAAAGCAGTGGTACATATACACAATGGAGTAATATGCAGCTGTAAGAAAGAAAGCAAGATCTCTTATCCTTTGAGACAACATGGAAAGACCTGGAGAGTATTATGCTAAGTGAAACAAGCCAAGCAGAGAATGACAAATACCACATGATCTCATTTATTTGTGGAATATAATGAACTAAAAAAACTGCTGAACTAAATTAACCCAGAGACATAGAGGTGGGGTACAGACTGATAAGGCTCCAAGGAGGGGGTATGTGGGGAAAGATATGAATCACCGAACTTACATGCATGTATGCATGACCAATGAACATACACAACAAAGCTGGAGATGGGGCGGGGGGGAAGGGGAGGAGGGTGTCAGTAGGGGGAAAAAGGAGAAACATCTGTAGCAAAAACACATACAATAAATAAATAATCATGTGTTTTAAGTTAAAATCATAACTGTAACCCCCATCAACGTTGCCTAGGTTTCAAGGCAAGAACACACGACGCGGAGGAGACTTTGCCTCCAAAAACTAGGGGTACTGAGGAGGTAGGACTGACTCAAAGGCTTGTTTCTAGGAAGGGGGGATGTTGTTGCTAAGAAAAGAGAAGTCTGTGAGGAGGAGGCGATGATATAAAGGAAACCACACTCTGGGCCACAGAGGGTTGTGTTTCCTTCCCTTATTTCCCTGCATTTCTCCTCCGTGCTCATTGTCACAGGGACACCTACCATGAACAGCAGTTCGATGTTGAACGTGTCTCTGCTGATCTGAGCCCTGCCGGCCACAGGAACCCACGTCTTCCTGAAGCGTCTCCAGGTCCCGAGGGACAACGTCCATGGTGAGGACCCCACAGGGAGGTGCTGATGGACGGGCTGAGGATGATGGAGACCTCATGGGGGAGGCTCTGACAGGGAAGGACGTGCCCTGGGTCACCTCACTGGGAAGGGGCTTCTCAGGAAGGCTTGGATCTATTTCCTGCACCACATTAAAACAACAGCCAGGCTCCTGGGGAGACGCATGTTCCCCTTCCTGTGGGGCTGCTGGCATGAAACCAAAACACAGGGAGGGCCAGCCTCCCAGGGGCCACTCGCTGTGTGTCTGTCCTGAGGGCACCATGGTCTCCATCTGCACAGCCAGGACCAGAGCGAGGAGACAACATGATCCCCACCCTCATGGCTACAATCTGCCTTGGTGAGATTTTCAGGGGGAGGGGAAACCTAGTCTGAGAGAGACCCTGCCCCTCAGCCAGGCCTTGTCTGTCAGGACCCAGGGACTCAGGAGGCTTATGGGGAGGGGGATTCTGCTCAAAATTCAGGGGCAAACCTCTCACAAGGACTCTCTTCCAGGGCTGAGCGTGGGCCTGAGGACCAGAGTGCAGGCAGGTGAGTCTGTCCCCAGGTGTCCCAGGTCCCACTCCACACTGGGGACACAGGACCACAACCTGGGCAGCTGGGGTGGAGAAATGCTAGGAGGGTCCTTGGGATGAGAGCTGGGGACTGGGGTAGGATGTCTCAGGACTCAGCCTCTGATTTCTTCCAGGGACCTTCCCCAAACCTACTCTCCAGGCTGAGCCAGGATCTGTGATCCCTTGGGGGAGCTCCGTGAACATCACATGTCAGGGGACTCCAGGGGCTGAGGAGTACTATCTGTATAAAGAGGAAAACATACAACTATGGAAAACACAGAAGCCACTGAACACCAGAGACAAGGCCACGTTCTCCATCACACAAATGACAGAGCATGATGCAGGGAGATATCGCTGTTACTACCGCAGCCCCTCTGGCTGGTTAGAGCCCAGTGACCCCCTGGAGCTGGTGGTGACAGGTGAGGGGACACTCAGGGGTCCCAGCCTCAGGCTCTGTCCTCAGGAAGGGGGCTGCTCTCAGGGCCTCTGCCCTCTCACAGCCCAGCCCTGGGGGACACGAGGGAGGTGTGACCCCATTTCACATGCTGTCTCCTCCCCTCCTAGGATCCTACAGCAAACCCAGCCTCTCAGCCCTGCGCAGTCCTGTCGTGACCTCAGGAGGGAACGTGACCCTCCAGTGTGGCTCAGGGCAGGGATTTGGCAGGTTCATTCTGACTAAGGAAGGAGAACACAGGCTCTCCTGGACCCTGGACTCACAGACACAGCCTAGTGGGCAGCACCAAACCCTGTTCCCTGTGGGCCCCGTGACCCTCAGCCACAGGTGGACGTTCAGATGCTATGGATGTTACAAAAACAACCCCCAGGTGTGTTCACACCCCAGTGACCCCCTGGAGCTCCTGGTCCCAGGTGAGTCTCATTATTGTTCCTTCCATGGATTGAGGCACCAGCCAGGTTGTTGGCATCTTTGCTGGGAGGGGAGCCCCATGTGAGAGGTGGGGTCAGGGGAGCACAGGAGCTCCTGGGGCAGAGACACAGAGACATTGAGACCCGGGGCATGTCAGCAGATGGGGTTATGGTAGGAGCAGCCCCTGTACTCATGTCTGGTCTCTCAGGTGTGTCCGGGAAGCCCTCCCTCCTGGCCCAGCAGGGCCCCATCGTGGCCTCTGGACAGAGACTGACCCTCCAGTGTCGCTCTGAGGTCGGCTATGACACATTCACTCTGTCCAAGGAGGGGGCACAGGACCTCGCCCAGAGCCTTGTCCTACAGCCCCAGGCTGGGCTCTCTCAGGCTGACTTCTCCCTGGACACTGTGAGCACCTCCCACGGGGGCCGGTACAGATGCTACGGTGGACACAACCTCTCCTCTGAGTGGTCGGCCCTCAGTGACCCCCTGGACATCCTGGTGGCAGGTGAGGAGTCAGGGGTTCAGTCAGGGACCACACTCTGCACAGGCCCTGCTGGGGGGTCGCAAGTGGTCATGGTCAGAATGAAAGTGCAGGGCCCAGGGAGGGGGAGACAGAGAGACAGGGGTGTGAGGGGAGAGGGGAGACTCAGAGAGAACAGAGACAGACAGAGAGGACGATCCTCAGAGAGAGACCTGGTGACTCTCAGGTCAGAACAAGGTGGGCAGGCAGCCCCTCACCCACCCTCTCTCTCTCTAGGATGGCTCTCTGACAGACCCTCCCTCTTGGTGCAGCCGGGTCTCACGGTGACCTCAGGAGAGAACGTGACCCTGCTGTGTCAGTCACAGTACCCGAGGGACACGTTCCTTCTGTGCAAGGAGGGGGCTGCCGATCCCCCCCTGCGTCTTCCATCAAAGCACCGAGCTCAGCAGTACCAGGCAGAGTTCTCCATGAGTCCTGTGACCTCCACTCATGGGGGCACATACACGTGCTACAGCTCACTCAGCACCTCTCCCTACCTGCTGTCACAGCCCAGTGAGCCCCTGAGGCTGCTGGTGTCAGGTGAGGGGCCCTTTTGTCTGTCTTTGTGAGCTGTCAGCTCAGAGTCCTGTCCCCAGAAGAATGATGAGCTCAAAGGGAGTGAGGGCTCTAGGTGTGGTCACCAGAAGACATCTGCCCTTCAGGGACCCTCCTAGCCCTGTTCAGCACCACCACTCAGTGGGGTCCAGAAGGTTCCAGGTGAATAGTGGGATAATATTAGGGAGCCACAGAGCAGATGTAGGAGGAGTCTGAGTGAGCCCCAGACTCTCAGCTCTTTCTTCTTCTTCCCCAGGTCACTCTGGGTCCCCAGTCCCTCCCCCACAGGGCCCATCTCCACAGATGATGACCCACTAGGTCCTCTTTGCTCAGAGGGAGCACAGATAACCCAGGGTGTTCTAGTCCCTCAGAGGATCTAATGCCCCCCAGACACATAGGGCAGGTTGTGTCCCAGGAGGCTGGGAGGCAGGGAGGTATTTCAGGGAAGTCCCTGGACTCCAGGACCTCGGAGGATTTTCTCTTCTTCCAATAAACTCGGGCCTGCAGTGGAAAGTGAGGCAGATGATGGGAGGGGTGCTTATGGAAGAGGAAGATATGGGGCCCAGGAGAAGCCAGGCTCACATGGAGAGAAGACAACCCACATCCCTCTCCCCCAACCTTGACGTAGGTCCTCCGCTGTTGCAAAATCATAAACTCTCCTATCCAGAAGGGTTAGCTTCCATGGTTCAGTATCCCACAATGAGCAGAGACATTGCACGAACTTGTTATTTTCTGCTATGAGAGATCATATTTCTCACCAATCCTGAATTCACTAGCAAAACCAAACTGTGTTCCCCAGTGACTCAGAAGCAGTCTAATCTCCAAAGGCGCAGGAATCAGAAAAAACCGGTGACAGCAGAGAGGGTCCTTCTCTAGCAGAGAAAGGGTTCCTGAGGGTCTGGTACCTGTCACATCATGAGAAGTGGGAGGGTTCTGGGGACCACAGGTGTGAGTGACATCAACCCCTCACACAGCCTCACTTCTTTGTGGTTCTCAGGAGCAATGGCACCATCAGCCCATCACAGAACACCTCAAAGTCACATTAATGTGGGTGGGTGCAAAGGCTCGTGACCTTTTAAGGGTTGGTGTGTGACGGGGGTGGACATCCAGTATTCTGGGCTGACTTATGCCTGCCCTGACCTCTTCGACCTCTTGGTTCACAATTCCCAGCCTCCCACCCCCTAGACTACACAGTGGAGAATCTCATCCGGTTGGGCGTGGCTGGCTTGATCCTGGTGGTGCTCGGAGTGCTGCTGTTTCAGGCCCAAAACTGCCAGACAAGTATTCACCAGGAGACCGGGGTGTAAACACAGGAGGAAACAACACACCTTCAGAGAGGGTTGCCTTGGAAATGAATCTCATGTGCCCAGAAGGCTCTGGAAGAGAATCTGGGACCTATGCGGTGTGACCTGTGTGCAGCTCACTGCAGTAGGAGCAGTCATTGTCCACGTGCAGGGAGAATGTCTGGGATCTTTTCTATTAAACTGTGTACACTGCCTTCCCCACCATTGCTGAGTCCAGTGATGGGTCCTGATTTTCTCCATTACGGGAAAATGGACATTTATCTCACTTGGCCCATTTGGGTCCAAACCTTCCTAAACTTTTATGGAATAGGGTTTTCTTGATTTCTAACAACACAAACCTTGATGGACTGACAGTTTCCATCTGCTGAGTTCAGAGCCATTTATTCTAATCAATCTATAGGTGGCATAACCAATATCCATCCCACAGGAGATAAATCAAAACGTTGTCCGAGTGCCCTCTCTGGACTCCACCCACCCTGCACTTTCCCTCAGATGCCACCTGTGTACTTTCCCCAGAAATCTGATCTCTTGGAATCAAGATGTTACTGTTTGAACGGCTCCCCTGGGCTGTGCTGCCTCTGTAACCTGTTGTTGTAAACACAATGCAACGTACTGATGTGTGTTATAGAGTGCACACCTCACACCTGTAGAAATCTATTATCCAATAGCATTCCAATAAAGTTAATGAGCACAACACCGGTTCCTGGCATTTGTGTTTCTCTGGTATATATGGTTCTTTCATGGCCAACTTCAAGGTGTTCATGTTGTTACCAGACAGGGTGCAGCCTGGAGCATGTCTACCTCAATCTGGCCTGTCGTGTGTGGGTTCTTGACTTTCTGTATGAAACACTTTACATTATGAGTCCCGGTGATTGTGAGAGTACGTTTGATAAAACTGGAGACCCTGAAGCAAAGGAAGGACATCGGTTAGAAGAAGCAGCAGAAGACAGCCTGGGTGGTGCTCTGCTTTGGCTCCCTAGAATCTTTGTAGGAAAACGGGGAGCCAAGGTGGGTCTGCTTTGCTCATTGGGAATTCAGAGGGAAATGGGTCCTTGGAGAATGGTTCAGGGGATTCGCCTGGACAGGCTGCCTCTTCCCATGGCTTCTCTGGTTGCAAGTGTTGTGGGGATTCTTAGAGTTTAGGAGGAAATATAAATTGTATGCCTGGAGAGCAGTGGGAAGCCAGAACCCAAGAGAGACTGCTTTAATCCAGCTGCCCGCCCATGGCACCTGTAGAGTGCAGGGTCACAAGAGAGGCCTTTGCAACCCAGCAGAGACTGTGCTATCTAGTTACCCCCAAGAGCTGCGGAGTGCTGAAACACCGGAGAGACCTGTGTGACCCAGCAGGGACTATGTTTTTTTGTTACCCATGGGGCCTGTGGGGTGCTGAAGAACCAGAGAGACCTGTGTGACCCAGCAGCTGATAACATAGGCATATATCCAGGTCCTCAAAGGGACTGTGCAATGCAGTTACCCATGGGACCTGCAAGGTGCAACCCAGCTGTGCAAAAGATAGGCATAGAGGATGTGAAAAACAAAGATGGAGTGAATTAAAGCTATGCAGACGATCTCCCAGGATCAAAGGGAATTACAACTAAAATAAAGACAAATCCTCAGAAAAAAAAAACAACAACAGAAAAGAAGCAGGGCAGGACCATATAACCAGGGACACTGGTAGGATCTGCAGAGGTGCGAGATAGTTGCGATCTGGGAGCCCATGGACAGTAGTCTTAGCTGTGAGCAATGCCCTTGGGGAATAAAGACCAAGCTTGCTCCACAGACTAGAGAGCCAAGACAGAGTGCTAATATAGCCACAGCCACTCACCTGGGGGCTATGGCAGAGGGAGGGCAGACTAGACTGGAACTCTGTGGGGACACCTGAGATTTGGAGTGCACTCAGAGTTTTTGCTGACTTGCGACCACAAAGGTCAGTGGCCAGTGTGCTCCTTTCCCGAACTGTAGGGAAAAGCAGCAGCCCCCCCCCCCATTGGAGATTCAGCCTTTCCCAGGTGAGGCAAAGAAATGCAAAGTGAGGTTCATTAATAACCAGCATCTAAACAACCCTCTGGAAATCCTTTATGCAGAAATCCAGGGCACGATGTAACTAAGACTACTAGCCACCAGGAAAAAGCTAGAGAATAACTGAACCTTTTCTAGACTTGCAAATCTACCCAGGAAGTAAAGACTTGACAGTGGTGTTGATTGAGGGCCCACCCAGGCTTATCCAAACCCTATATAGAAAGCCACAAACAACAGAACACCAACACCCACAGTGAAAATTTGGCAGGTTCCAAAACCCACTGAGATAGCCAAAATGGTGAAACAAAAAAAACAAATCCCAAATGAAAGAACAAGTGAACTCTATCGAAGATGAGATCAATGAAATATAACTAAGCAAATGATCAGAGGTACAGTTCAGAGCTATGATCTTGAGGAAGCTCAACAGTATGCGTAAGGACATCAGCACCATGAGTAAAGATATAGAAACATTAAAAACCAATCAAGTGAAAATAAAGAATGACATAACAGAAATTAAGAACACATTGGGAGGACTAACCAACAGAATAGAGGAAGTGGAGGACTGGATCAGTGAATTAGAAGACAGGTAGAAAAAAATCAACCAATCAGAAAAACAAAAGGAAAAAAATAACTAAAAAACAGGAAGAAAGCTTAAGAGAACTGTGGGACAACTGAAAAAGTAATGACATTAGCATCATAGGAGTCCCCAAAGAGACAGAAAATGGGCAATGGTTAGAGAATATATTTGAAGAAATAGTGACAGAAAACTCCCCTAACTTGGTGAAGGGAGAAGGCATTCAAGTTCAAGTTCAAGAAGCACAGAGAGCCCCAAGCAAGAAGAACCCAAACAAGCCCACACCAAGACACAGAGTAATTAAAATGCCCAAAATTAAAGACAAAGAGCGAACTCTTAAGGCAGCAAGAGATAAGCAACAGGTTACCTACAAAGGAAACCACATAAGGCTCTCAGCTGACTGCTCCACAGAAACACTACAGGCCAGAAGGTAGTGGAATGAAGTAATCAAGGTCATGAAAAACAAGGATCTGAATCCAAGACTACTCTATCCAGCAAGGCTATCATTCAAAATAGAAAGTCAAATAAAGAGCATCCCAGACAAAAAAAAAAAAAGGATAAGGGAATATATTAACACCAAGCCAGCACTGCAAGATATGCTAAAAAGACTGCTATAGTTAGTAGAAATAATGGGAAGAAAAAGAGAACCGCATTAAACAAAAATGGCAATAAATAAGTACGTATCAATTATAACCTTAAATGTGAATGGTTTGAATGCTCACTAAAATGACACAGAGTAGCCCTGGCTGGTTTGGCTCAGCGGATAGAACATCGGCCTGAGGTCCAGAGAGACCCGGGTTCAGTTCCCGCTAAGGGCACATACCTCGGTTACAGTTTGTCCCTGGCCCCGGTTGGGTTGTGTGGGTGGCAACCACTCTATGTGTTTCTTTCACGTCGATGTTTCTCTCTCTCTCTCTCTCTCTCTCTCTCTCCTACTCTCTCTCTCTCTCCCACTCTATCTGAACAAAAAAATAAAAAAATGTCCTCGGTTGAGGATTAAAAAAACAAAACAAAAAAGACACAGAGTAGCTGACTGGATAAGAAAGCATGACTCAAATATATGTTGCTTACAAGAAACCTACCTCACAACAAAAGACTCATATAGGTTGAAAGTGAAGGGATGCAAAAAAGTCTCTCACGAAAACGAAAAGCAAAAAAAAAGCTAGGGGAGCAATACTTATATTTGATAAAGTAGATTTCAAAATGAAGACCATAACTAGAGACAAAGAAGGCCACTACATAATATTGAAAGAATCTATCCAACAAGAAGATATAACCTTGGTAAACATATACGCACCCAATTTAGGAGCACCAACATACATTAAAAATTGTCTGAAGAACTTTAAAAGAGAAATTTACAGCAATACAATCATAGCAGGCGACTTCAATACCCTGCTGACATCACTGGATAAATCTTCTAGATAAAAAAATTAACAAGAAAACACAGACTGTAAATGAAGCGCTAAATCAAATGGATTTCGTAGATATCTACAGAGAATTACACCCCAAAACCACAGAATTCACATTCTCCTCAAGTGTACATAGGACATTCTCAAAGATAGACCACATGTTAGGACACAAACTAAATCTCTACAAGTTCAAGAAGATGGAAATCATATCAAGCATCTTCTCAGATCACAATGGCATGAAACTAGAAATAAAAAATTAAAAATTTTATGGAAATCAATAAAAATGAACACACCACAACAAAATCTATGGGATGCAGTGAAAGCAGCTCTGAGAGGGAAGTTCATAGCACTACAGGCCTACCTCAAGAAGCAAGAAAAATTTCTAATAGACTACCTAACCTCACAACTTAAAGAACTAGAAAGCAAACAGAAAGAAACCCCCAGAGCAAGTAGAAGGAAGGAAATAGTAAAGATCAGAGCAGAAATAAATGACATGGAGACCAAAAAAGCAATTCAAAGGTTCAAGGAAACAAGGAGCTGGTTCTTTGAAAAGATAATCAAGATGGATAGACCCTTAGCTAGACTCTCCAAGAAATAAAGACAGAGAACCCAGATACACAAAGTCAGAAATGAAAGACGAGAAATAGTAACTGACACCAAAGAAATACAACGAATTGTTAACAGATATTAAGAACAATTATACAGCAACAAATTCGACAATCGAAGCGAAATGGACAAATATCTAGAAACACATAGTCTCCCAAAACTGATCCAAGAAGAGATATACAACTTGAACAGACCAATAACAACAAAAGAAATTGAAGGACCTACAAATGGCCAAGAGACATATGAAGAAATGCTCAACATCACTGATCATCAGAGAGATGCAAACTAAAACAACTATGAGGTATCACCTCACACCTGTCAGAATGGCCACCATCAACAAATCATTAAACAGGAAGTGGTGGCGAGGGTGTGGAGAAAAGGGGACTCTAGTACACTGCTGGTGGGAATGCAGACTGGTGCAGCCACTATGGAAAACAATATGGTGTTACCTCAAAAAGTTAAAAATTGAACTGTCATTTGACCCAATGATTCCACTTCTAGGAATATACCCTAAGAAACCTGAAAAACCAATCATAAAGAATCTATGTACCCCTATGTTTATAGCAGCACTATTTACAATAGCTAAGGTCTGGAAACAAGCCAAGTGTCCATCATAGACGAGTGGATTAAAAAGCTGTGATCCATGTACACAATGGAGTACCTGGTAGCTGTAGGAAGGAAGGATCTCTTATCCTTTGAGTTGGCATGGAAGAACCTGGAGAGTATTATGCTAAGCGAAACAACCCAAGCAGAGAAAAACAAATATCTCATGATCTCACTTATTTGTGGAGTATAATGAACTAAGCAAACTGCTGAACAAAATTAACCCAGAGACATAGAGGTGGGGTACAGACTGACAAGCCTCAGAGAAGGAGGCTTGGGGGGGGGGGAGATAAACTACAGAACTTACATGCATGTACGCATGACCAATGAACATGCACAGCAAAGCTGGGGATGGGGAAGGAGGGAAGGGGAGAAGGGTGTCAATGGTGTGGAAAAGGAGAAACATCTGTAACTAAATAACTAACTAACTAACTAACTAACTAACTAAATAAATAAATAAATAAATAAATAAAAGAAATAAATAATCATGTGTTTTAAGTCAAAATCATAACTGTAACGTACATCAACATTCCCTAGGTTTCAAGGCAAGATCTCATGGAAAAGAGGAGACTTGAACTCCAAAAACAAAGGGTACTGAGGAGGTAGGAATGACTCACAGGCTTGTTTTTAAAAAGGTGTGGGGGGGTGTTGTTGCTAAGAAAAGAGAAGTCTGTGAGGGCGGCTATGATATAAAGAAAACTACCGAGGGTTGTGTTTCCTTCCCTTATTTCTCTGCATTTCTCCTTTGTGCTCATTGTCACAGGGACACTTATTGTGAACAGCAGTTCGATGTTGAACGTGTCTCTGCTGATCTGAGCCCTGCCGGCCACAGGAACCCACGTCTTCCTGAAGCGTCTCCAGGTCCCGAGGGACAACGTCCATGGTGAGGACCCCACAGGGAGGTGCTGATGGACGGGCTGAGGATGATGGAGACCTCATGGGGGAGGCTCTGACAGGGAAGGACGTGCCCTGGGTCACCTCACTGGGAAGGGGCTTCTCAGGAAGGCTTGGTTCTATTTCCTGCACCACATTAAAACAACAGCCAGGCTCCTGGGGAGACGCATGTTCCCCTTCCTGTGGGGCTGCTGGCATGAAACCAAAACACAGGGAGGGCCAGCCTCCCAGGGGCCACTCGCTGTGTGTCTGTCCTGAGCGCACCATGGTCTCCATCTGCACAGCCAGACCAGAGCGAGGAGACATGATCCCCACCCTCATGGCTGCAATCTGCCTTGGTGAGATTTTCAGGGGGAGGGGAGACCTAGCCTGAGAGAGACCCTGCCCCTCAGCCAGGCCCTGTCTGTCAGGACCCAGGGACTCGGGAGGCTTATGGGGAGGGGGATTCTGCTCAAATTTCAGGGGCAAACCTCTCACAGGGACTCTCTTCCAGGGCTGAGCGTGGGCCTGAGGACCAGAGAGCAGGCAGGTGAGTCTGTCCCCAGTTGGAATGTGCTTAAGATCTCCATCCTAGGAGGGGGTGGGGCATTGGGGCAAAACTAGAAATGGATGTGTAAATGAAGTTCCTCCTAAGATACAGGTAATTACAGCAGGGGTGATAAGGGGGCAGGAGCGCTGACCTGAGACCCCCACTATGAAGGTGTGAGAGGAGCAGAGAGGGCCATTACATCCTGGGAGGGTGGAGAAGGTGGCCCCAGTGTCTATGGGGAAGAAGGTTTTCTTTCCTGCTAAGCGAAGGTTTACCCTGGGCTCCCTGTTGGTGATGTGTCCTGGGGCCGGTGTCCCAGGGCCTCCTCAGTCCGCTGCCGCCAGTCCCAGAAAGTCTGTTACTGTCCTGGTGGGGGGTTAATGGGGACGGTCAAGCCGAATGCCCTTTGGCACTCGGGGCAATCAATTCCCCAGTGGCCCTCGAGGTGACAGTGTGAGCAAGGCCCCGTGGGGGGCGAGGGTTTGGGCACTGTCTCGCCCAGTGGCCCGTTTGTATTTGAAGCAGGAGCCAGGGGGATTTGACTGAGGAGGTTGCCCCTAGAGCCTCTGCCCCTCAGACCAGTGTCCCCTTGAAGGGCCTTCGCGAACATAGGGTTGTTCTGTTGTCTTTTCTGTTGCTCCTCCCTCTCCATTTCCTCCCGGTTGTTAAAGACCTTAAAGGCAATATGTAAGAGCTCTCTCTGAGGTGTCTCGGGCCCTCCTCAGGTGTTTTGAGTTTGCGTCTAATGTCAGGGGCCGATTGGGAGATGAAATGGGAGTGGAGGAGGGTGGTCCCGGTTGGGGAGGTGGGGTCCATACAAGTGTATTTACAAAAGGCCTGGGAGAGTCGTCCTAGGAATTCTCTCAGATTTTATTGGGGCCTTTGGATGATGTATTTGATTTTGTCATAATTGATGGCCTTATTGGTTAGTTTTTGTAAGGCCTGAAGAAGGTAGTCTATAAGACGGTCAAGTTCCCTACGGTTAGCATGGCCAATTCAATAGTTCCATTGTGGGTCATTGGCTGGAACTGCTTCTCCCCCTAGAGGGAGGTTATTGTCCCAGGCATGTGCTTCATCTGCTACTTGCTGGGCGGTCACCCACACCCAATTCTTGTCGTGTGCAGAGAGGGAGGAAGTAAGGATGATAGAAAAATTGTCCCAGGTAAGATCATATGGTTGAGTGAGGTATCGGAACTCCCTGATGTAGGTGTTGGGATCAGAGGAGAAGGAGCCAAGGTGGCGTTCAATCTGGGATAAGTCAGAGAGGGAGAAGGGGATGGCTACACGCACTATTCCCTCGGCGCCAGCTACTTCCCGGAGCGGATATAAACCAGTCTGGGGAGGTTTATGCGGGTGGAGAAAGGGGGAAGATGCGGGGGATGGTGCATCTGGTGGAGGAGAAGAGGCATTCAGATAAGGCAGAGGTGGAGCGGCAATGGGAGAAGGGGGTGTATCTGGGACAGGAGGAGAAGGAGGAGTGGGGGCCGGTGGTCTTGAGCGTCAAAAGAATCTGTGGAAGAGAGGGGGATTGGGGATCGCGCTAGAAGGATTGGTGGGTGCAGCAGGTAGAACAAAGGGAAGAGTGAGGGTGGAGAGAGAAGAAAGCCTGCACATAAGAAATTTCTGAGGCTTTGCCTGTCCGGTGGCAGAAATTATCTAAGTCTCTTAGCATACTGAAGTCAAAAGTGCCATTTTCTGGCCATCGAGAGTTATTGTCGAGTTTATATTGGGGCCAGGCTGTATTGCAGAGGAATATGAATTTGTGAGGCCTCAAATCGAAGAGGCTGAGGGTTTTTTTTACATTTTTCAGTAGGCAGCCAAGGGGGCTGGAGCTTGGCGGTTTCGATTGAGACGACCCCCTTTCGTAGAGAGGCAATGGCAGGAGAGGGGGTCCCCCTCGGGAGGACAAGCCGGTAGGAAAGACAAATCAAGAAGGAATCGTCACCCCGACTTGAATGCCCGAGAGTAGTGAGAAACCCGACTGGGTACCCAGATTTTTGAGATGAGAGAGAGACGGGTGGGCCACTCGGTAGACAGGGGTGGGTCAAAATCAAAACCGCGTCGGTGGAAAAATACGGGAGAAGTTCAAGGCTAGAACGAGATGGGCGGGCCACCCGGTAGGAAATGTAGGTGGGAGAATAAGGGAGACTAGGGAAGGAGAGAAAACGTGAGAAAGGGAGAGTGAGGGTGCCTAAACTTTGGAAGGCCAACCAGAGATGGGAGAGAGAAATTCCTTACCTTCTGGTTCAGCAGGTAGGAGGGGTACCAGGACGGGTTGGAGCCCGCCAATCAACCCAAACCACAGTCCACCCAGAATCAGGGAGCTAGCCCAGGTGAGCTGCTGCTGCCCGCTGCTGCCCAGGTAGTAAGGGTGGTCTGTGCCGGGGATCATCCAGGCTACCAAGCTCCCACCCCAGGTTTCGGCACCATGTGCAAGAACGAGGTGCAACAAGGTGGTGCAGAGTCTCCAGGAGTGCAGGTTTGTTGGGAATCAGTCTCCAGGACTACCTCTAAGGAGAGAGTAGCAGCCGGCTTGCACAGACTAGGGATTTTTCAACTCAGGGCTGGGGGAGGGGGGTGGTCGTTCAGCCGAGGAGACATAGTCGTCTTTGATTGGTAGGGCCTAGGGTCTCCCCAGTTCTTGATTGGTCAGGGGCAGGGGTCTCCTGAAGCTTGTTTTTCTTGTCGAGTGGCCTTTTGAAGTTTTGGGTGGTTAGGGTGGTTCCATCATTCGTTACTCCGGACGGGAGAGATGGGTTTTGGTTTTCTGGACTGAGAGGCTTAGGAAAAGGTTAAACAATGAAGGATGAGTTTTGGTTTCTTGGAACAAGAGGCTCAGGGCAGTAATATGGAAGTTAAGAGCTAACACTTATGGGGAGGGGGATTCTGCTCAAAATTCAGGGGCAAACCTCTCACAGGGACTCCCTTTCAGGGCTGAGCGTGGGCCTGAGGACCAGAGAGCAGGCAGGTGAGTCTGTCCCCAGGTGTCCCAGGTCCCACTCCGCACTGGGGACACAGGACCACAACCTGGGGGTGGAGAACAACAGTTTTGGGTCAACAAAGGGGAGATGCTAGGAGGGCCCTTGGAGTGAGAGCTGGGGACTGGGGTGGGATGTCTCAGGACGCAGCCTCTGATTTCTTCCAGGAATCCTCCCCAAACCTACCCTCCGAGCTGAGCCAGGCTCTGTGATCCTCTTGGGGAACACTGTGATCCTCTTGTGCCAGGGAACCCTAGGGGCTGAGGAGTATCGTCTGAATAAGGAGGGAAGCATGTCATCATCGAAGGCCCAGAAACAACTGGAGTCTGAGTACAAGGTCGTGTTCTCCATCACACATCTGACATCAGCGGAGGCAGGGAGATATCACTGTTACTATCGCAGCTCGTCTGGCTGGTCAGAGTCCAGTGACCCCCTGGACATCCTGGCGACAGGTGAGAAGCCCGTGGGTTTAGTCAGGGACCAGACTCTGCACAAGGCCTGCTGGGGGGTTGCAGGTGGTCATGGTCAGAATTGAAGTGCAGGGCCCAGGGAGGGCGACAGACAGAGAGATGTGGGGTGAGGGGAGAGGGGAGACTCAGAGAGAACAGAGAAAGACAGAGACGAGGGTCCTCAGAGAGAGACCTAGTGACTCTCAGGTCAGAACAAGGTGGGCAGGCAGCCCCTCACCCACCCTCCCTCTCTCTAGGATGGTTCTCTGACAGACCCTCCCTCTCGGTGCAGCCGGGCACCACGGTGACCTCAGGAGAGAAGGTGACCCTGCTGTGTCAGTCACAGTACCCGAGGGACACTTTCCTTCTGTCCAAGGAGGGGGCAGCCGATCCCCCCCTGCGTCTTCCATCAGAGCACCGAGCTCAGCAGTACCAGGCAGAGTTCTCCATGAGTCCTGTGACCTCCGCCCACGGGGGCACCTACAGGTGCTACAGCTCACTCAGCACCGCCCCCTACCTGCTGTCACACCCCAGTGAGATACTGAGGCTGCGGGTCTCAGGTGAGGGGCCCTTTTGTCTGTCTTTGTGAGCTCTTGGCTCAGAGTCCTGTTCCCAAAAGAATGATGAGCTGAAAGGGAAGGAGGGCTCTAGGTGCAGTCACCAGAAGACATCTGCCCTTCAGGGACCCTCCTACCCCTGTTCAGCACCCCCACTCAGTGGGGTCCAGAAGGTGCCAGGTGAATAGTGGGATAATATTAGGGAGCCACAGCACAGATGTAGGAGGAGTCTGAGTGAGCCCCAGACTCTCAGCCCTTCTATCTCTGCCCCCCCAGGCCTGTCTGGGACCCCAGCTGCTCCCCCACAGGACCCATATCCACAGATGATGACCCACTAGGTCCTCTTTGCTCAGAGGGAGCACAAACACCCCAGGGTGGTTCTAGTCTCCCAGAGGATCTAATGCCCCCCAGACACACAGGGCAGGCTTGTGCCCCAGGGGGCTGGGAGGCCGGAGGGATTTCAGGGAAGTCCCTGGACTCCAGGACCTTGGAGAATTTTCTCTTCTTCCCATGGACTCAGGCCTGCAGGGAAAAGTGAGGCAGATGATGGGAGGGGTGCTCATGGCAGAGGAAGATATGGGGCCCAGGAGAAGCCAGGCTCACATGGGGAGAAGACAACCCACATCCCTCTCCTCCAACCTTGATGTAGGTCCTCAGCTGTTGCAAAATCATTAACTCTCCTACCCAGAAGGGTTAGCTTCCATGGTTCAGTATCCCACAATGAGCAGAGACATTGCAAGAACTTGTTATTTTCTGCTATGAGAGACCATATTTCTCACCAATCCTGAATTCTCTGGGAAAGCCAAGCTGTGTTCCCCAGTGACTCAGAAGAAGTCTAATTTCAAAAGGTGCAGGAGTCAGAAAGAACCTGTGACAACAGACAGGGTCCTTCTCTAGCAGAGAAAGGGTTCCTGAGGGACTGGTAGCTGTCACGTCATGAGAAGTGGGAGGGTTCTGGGGACCACAGGTGTGAGTGGCATCAACCCCTCACACAGCCCCACTTCTTTGTGGTTCTCAGGAGAAGCCAGCACCATCAGCCCTTCACAGAACACCTCACACCCCAAAAGTGGTGAGTAGAGGAAACTCTCATTTATATGGCTCAACGAAGAGGTTCATGTCTTTCCAAGGGTTGGAGGGTGACCTGGGTGGACACCCCGTATTCTGGGCTGACTTATGCCTGCCCTGACCTCTTTGACCTCTTGGTTCACAATTCCCAGCCTCCCACCCCCTAGACTACACAGTGGAGAACCTCATCCGGTTGGGCGTGGCTGGCTTGATCCTGGTGGTGCTTGGAGTGCTGCTGTTTGAGGCTCGAAACAGCCAGACCAGTACCCACCAGGCAGTTGGGATGTAGACACAGGAGGAAACAACGCACCTTCAGAGAGGATCACCTTGGAAATGAATCTCATGTGCCCAGAAGGCTCTGGAGGAGAATCTGGGACCTATGCGGAGTGACCTGTGTGCAGCTCACTGCAGGGGGAGCAGTCATTGTCCACGTGCAGGGAGAATGTCTGGAATATTTTTTATTAAGCTGTGTACACTTTCATCCCCACCATTGCTGAGTCGAGTGACGGGTCCTGACTTCCCCCTAATGGAGGAATGAGCATTTATCCCACGTGGCAGATGTCAGTCCACACCTCCTACACCTTCATGGAATAGGTTTTCCTTGACTTCTCATCACACACACCTTGATGGACGGACAGAGTTCCCATCTGCTCAGTTCAGAGCCATCCATTCTAATCAATCTATAGGTGGTATAAGCAAGATCCATCCCACTCGAGATAAATCAAAATGTTGTCCGAGCGCCCTCTCTGGACTCCATCCACCCTTTGCTTTCCCTCAGATGCACCCTGTGTACTTTCCTCAGAAATCTGATGTCTTGGAATCAAGATGCTGCTGTTTGAAGGCTCCCCTGGGCTGTGCTGCCTCTGAAACCCGTTGTTCTAAATACCATGCAATGTACCGATGTGTGTTATAGAGTGTACACCTCACACCTGTAGAAGACTATTATCCAATGTCACCCCAATAAAGTTAATGAGCACAACACCGGTTCTTGGCATTTGCGTTTCTCTGGTATATATGGTTCCTTCATGGCCAACTTCAAGGTGTTCATGTTGTTACCAGACAGGGACCAGCCTGGACCGTGTCTGCCTCAGTCTGGCCTGTCGTGTGTGGGTTCTTGACTTTGTGTAGAAAAGACTTCACAATATGAGTCCCGGTGATTGTGAGAGTACGTTTGTTAAAACTGGAGACCGTGAAGCAAAGGAAGGACATCGTTTAGAAGCAGCAGCAGAAGACACCCTGTGTGGTGCTCTGCTTTGGATCCCTAGAATCTTTGTAGGAATGCGGGGAGCCAAGGTGGGTCTGCTTTGCTCCCTGGGAATTCAGAGGGAAAGGGGTCCTTGGAGGCTGGTTCAGGGGATTCGCCTGGTCAGGCTGCCTCTTCCCACGGCTCTTCTGGTTGCAAGTGTGGTGGGGATCCTTAGAGTCTAGGAAGGAGTACAAATAGTGTGCCTGGACAGGGTCAAGGGCATGGTCTGGAGCAAGCTCACACTGAGTCCTCTTCCTGAGGGCTTTTTCCCTCTTCACTCACATTCAAATTCACGAGTGCATTTCCCCTTGTCTTTAGTATTGTATTGTGTTTGAAAGCCAGCTCCTATCAATTTCCTCCACTTGCCATAGATACCAAGACACACATTTCATTTATATGTTCATGTTCCTAACACTGCCTATTCCCTCTGTTTCTTTGCAAAATACTCAACCCTTGGCCCCCGGGACTGTTGGTAGTCATCATCCTCAAGTGCTTCCCTCCTGAAGATCACAACATCCATTGGTCTCCCTTTCTCTGTTCTCCATGTATCCAAATTTTCTAAGTCCAGTCTCTCTCTATTGTCTCCTACAAAATTTCCTCGGTGTTGTCATCGGATGCATTGCTGTGTCTTCAGCTGTCTCTTCTTGGTGAAGAACTATTTTGAGACTGTTACATCAAATTATGTTTTTATCCTTATTACTTTCTTCTATGATATATTTGTAATTCATCTATAAAATTCTCTCCACCTTTATAAATATAAGCCCTGTGACTGTTGCAATAATTCAAATTTATCCTTTATATTCTAAGGCATTTCAATAGCCTTCAATTAAAGGGAGTTTTCTGTGGCTCCATGGTTGAGCGTTGACCCATGCACCAAGACGTTGCTGGTTCGATTTGCAGTCAGGGCTCATGCCCAGGATGTGGGCCCAATATCCAGTGGGTGTCATGTAGGAGGCGGCCAATCGATGTTCTCTTTTATCGATGTTTCTATCTCTCTGTTCCTCTCCTTTCCTCTCTGTCTAAAACTCAAGAAAAAAAACACAATGAAAGTAAGTTTCCTGTATTCTTAGTATTCTGTTTTCTCAGATGTGATTACCCCCACTAAGGACTCTGTGCGTAGGTTTGTTAGCAGTATTTGTTGTAATTAGGAGCACTTGTTGATATCCATTCCTGTTGCGCTCCCATTTCCAACATGCCTGATTCTCCGAAGGGTTTTCCCAAGGCTCACCTGATGTGGTGGTCTGAAGGAGATGCAGAGGTGCAGCATACGCTCTCCCAAACGTGGCATCTGACTGTGATGTGCCCGAGAGGGATGGCTCCAACGTGTGCTTGACACTCCCACCTGGACAAACACCCATGTTGCACTAGACTGGTTGAATCTTTTTTGCAGACAGACACACAGCCACACACAGGCACACTCACATTCACACACACAGACATGGCTCAGTGCTGACCCTGGGTGGGTTCAGTGGATAGAGATACTCCAGTGTTTTTCCCCAAGACGAGAGAGAGGGTAGCCCTGCTCAAATACCGCCTTGTCTCAGATCCCTTCCCTGCCTGGGAGGACGTGGGGTCCCTCTGTTGTTCACATAGAGGTGCAAAACTTCACTCAGATGGCCACTGGCTGGCACCCATGGCCACTCCCTTTTGACCTCTTTTTTTTTTCAATTCTCACCCAAGTATATTTTTCTATTTATCTTCAGATAGAGTGGGAGGGAGATAGGAAGAGGGAGAGGGGGGAGGGGGAGGGGGGGAGAGAAATGTCAATGTGAGAGATTCATCGATTGATTGTGTTCTACACAAATGTGACCAGGGCCAGGGAGGAACAACAATTGAGGTATGTGCCCTTGACGGGAATCGAACCCATGACTCTTTGGTCCATGGGCCAACACTCTAACTGCTGAACTAAACGAGGCAGGGCTCCCCTTTGACCTCTTTTATATGTTGTGGTTCCCTCTCAATTTGGAAACCTTCATTTCTTTTTGTCTGTATTGACTCTGACTATGACACCGTTGAAATGAACTAGTTATTAATAATGGGAAAGGAGCCAAAGGGGGAAGCCAGACATTACGGGCACACCCTCTGGGCAGCTTCACCTGGAACCTGCCGTTTTGCTCTCCCCAGGGAACTGGTCCACTTCCTGCAGTTTACCAGGTGGGGGAGGGTCTCGTCAGAGTGTGAGGTGGGCTCGTGCACTGTCACGTTGGAGTGAATAGAGAAGGTGTTTGCTGTGAGTCGAATCTGGGAACAGAGGTCATTGGCCTTACCGGGCACAGCCAATGGAAGCCCATTAAACTTGGGAATACATATTCCCCTAGACAATGCAATTCCCTCTCTCGGCTGTCTGGGTCCTTTGGCTTTGCTCCTCCTGCCCGTGTTCCCTTTGTGAGGCGGACCCTGCTGACCCCACACTCAATGCACAGATGGACTGCAGCTGGAAACACAAGTGAGGCTGGCCTGATGGTACAGTGGACAGTGCAGACACGGAGTGGGACGTCTGGACGCTGGCTGCGATCTCAGCCCTGCTGGAAGCAAAATGGGACCTCTTCCTTGACAGGCAGGCGGGAGAGGGAGCCTGGAGACTCAGGGGCGTCATTCTACAGAAATAAACCTTTCTGTAATACCTTATCCTCCTCCCGTGGGGACCTCCAGATATCCTGCTCCAGCAGCACCCCAAGAATCCTACTTCCACCAAGGACTGCTACATGTTCTAGAAATATTATAAACAGCATTTTCCAGTGGTAGGGATGGATTTAGGACCTTGGGTGGACATATCCGTCGTCCAATCTGACTGTGATGTAAGATACATCGATCCTGTATGTCTCATCTCACACAACTTAATCAGGTCTGGAAATTAGCAAGGATTTTGCCCTCCCTTGTCATGGACACCACAGATCCCACCACATGCTGAGGACTGGGGTTCATGACAACCTGCTACACCTGAGAAACGTGAACCTCAGAGATTGGACATCACTGCTCAAGGTCACACAGACAGAGCAGGATCGTAAAATATTTAAATATCAGCCGCGTTCCCAACATGAGAACACCAAGCCCCTCACTGACCCCTGAAGCCAAAGAGAGGTCCAGAGGAGGGGGGCACAGCTCTGCTTCGGGAACAGGGAACCGTGGAGGAAGAACGAGTCGCGACCTTACCCCCAGGAAACGGGGGTGGATGCTGTTCCAGGAAAAGAAGAAGTTAATGGAGGGCGTGGGATAGAAACCTCCCACTCTGGGCCACAGAGGGTTGTCTTTCATTTCCTCATTTCCCTGCATTTCTCCTCCGTGCTGATTGTCAGAGGGACACTCGCCTGCCCTGCTCAGTTCCAGGGTGAACGTGTCTCTGCTGCTCTGAGCTCTGCCCGCCACAGGAACCCACGTCTTCCTGAAGCATCTGCAGGGATTTGAGTCCATGGTGACGACCCCGCAGGGAGGGGTGATGGACGGGCTGAAGATGCAGGGGACCCCATGGAGGAGGCTCTGAGAAGGAAGGACGTGCCCTGGGTCACCTCACTCACAAGGGGCATGTCCAGAAAGCTATGTGTCTATTTGCTGCTTTATCATAAAAGTGTGAGCCAGGCCGAAGAAGAGAGGCTGTTCTCTCACCTGAAGGCTGCCGATGTGACAACCGTGACCAGCAGGAGCGACCTCCAAAGGACCACAGTCGGTGGTTTGTCTGGCATCCTCCTGGCTCCGTGGTCCCTTCCATCTGCTCAGCTGACCCCAGAGGGACAGGACGTCATGACCCCCACACTCACCGCCCTGCTCTGCCTGGGTGAGATGTGACGGGGGAGGGGAAGCCCTGCTCTGTCAGAAGTTCCTGAAACTCAGCAGGCTCCCAGGAAGGAGGGTTCTTGTCAGGGGTCAGGGCGAACCTCTCACAGGGACTCTCTTCCAGGGCTGAGCGTGGGCCTGAGGACCAGAGTGCAGGCAGGTGAGTCTTCCCAGGTCTCCCAGGTCCCACTACTCCCTGCGAACAAGGCACAGCTCCTCGGGCATAGCTGGGGAAGGGGGAGAGCACACCTGTCTGACAGATGGGGCACATCGGGGACGGAGAGCTAGAACCTGGGGTGGGAATGTCTTAGGACCCAGCCTCTGATTCCTACCAGGGACCCTCTCCAAACTTACCATCTGGGCTGAGCCAGGATCTGTGATTTTCCCAGGGGCTGGGTCTTGGGGAGAGATTTCAGAGGAACCACAGGGCTCTAGAGTCTCTGAGGATTCACCCTTCACCCCATGGGGACAGGGGCTGAGTCATGAGGAAGTTCAGGCCCCTCAGGAGACGCTGGCTTGGATTTGCCCTTCCCCTGTCTGGGCTTCAGGGTCCCCAAGTGTAAAAGGAGAGACTCATGGCCCAGGTGGAAGGTGGAGAGGACCTCATCCCCTAGCTCTGCCACAGCCGCTGTGCTGGGCGGAAGTGTTCACTAGGAATGCACTACTCTGCTTAGGTCATTTCTAAGCAACTATGGATGTGGTGAGTAAGAAGCAGTTCAACACCCGAACCCGTGTTTGCAGTTTTTCCAGGGATGAATTCACCTCCTTCTTTCACACCATAGTCCAAAAGGACCCTCAGCATCTTGACATTGGACAGAACATCACATTTATCCACAATATGGATGACATCTTCTTAATTGGATCTGAGGGGTAGTAGGTGGTGTGTGCTCTGGTTGCTGAGGTTAGCACTGCACGTGGTGGGAAGTAAAAAGGAACTGAAAAATGCGGGGCCTGTCACAGCAGTGAAGTTGCAGAGGTCCGGCTCCCAGTGGCCTGTCAGGATGTGCCCTGCAGAGGAGAGAACACACCATTGCACCTGGACCCTCCAAATGCTAAGAAGGAGGCACAGCTCTGGGCGTGTGACTTCAGATCGTAGAAGCAGCGTATATCGAGCATACTGG